GGGTGTAATCACCTGAACCCTGGAATGGACACACTTAACGTGACACAATGTTCAGTTGTCGCGGAAACAACCGATCCTGAATGACACACTGCATTATTAAACATTATAAAACGTATGCAATAACTTGCCCAAGTGCTTATATGCTTTTAACGTTACGCTTATTACTATAGAAATGAACAAATGAAGTTTCACAGTGTTGAGTAATGTGGCGTTTCTTAAACTTTTTTCAACAATGGCGATATGCACAGTAGATGTGAAGTGCATTCATTGCATACAATTTAATTTATTACAAATATTTTCAAACTAATACTACTAATTAGTGTTCGTGTGGGTTATCTGGTGGACAGGGGGTGTTCTCAAAAATCTATCAAAAGGTATGTATGGCAACTGTGATGAATGTAGTTCATGTAATCTCAGCAGGACCTCACACTGGATAATGCTGATGTTTGAATTGTTGCAACTATGATTAAATGATTTTGGTCAGAAGTGCTCTGCTTGCAGTCGGAGCAGTTCTTAGCAATCTCTGTTTGAGCGGGCTCTGCTTACACCAGGTGTGAACAGTGTGCATGGAGCTCCAAAGCCCTACAGCTGATGCTCCTCACTGGGCTGCCTGCTTCCTAGTGGTGAAGATGTGTGTCATTCAGTAAAGAGAGTTAGGGACATTCACTGTGATATGATTTCAAACAGAGAGTAACCTGAAAATGTCACCAGTGTAACCTGAAATCTCCATATTTCAGAGGTTGTAAAACAGCATTTTCTCACATTTTTCCATTAAACATAAATCAAATATCAAAAAAGTTGACGAGTTGTTTTCTGTTGATCAATTAATTGATCCTTTGACAAAAAACAAAAAAACAATGTCACTGCTGACTTAGTGTGAGATGAGAAAACACTCAAATGTGTTACTTTGGAAGGCCATTTTAAAAATGATTCTTTTACTTTGAAGACTTGCTAGTGTCACTTCTCGCAATCCAAAACAGCCAAAGGCCAGTTATTTATTCATTTATTTCATTATTTGTATTTCTATCATTGTTCGTTTTTTGCACATGTTGTATTTGGCTATAATATCTCTGGCACTTGTTACTTGGATGTGGTTTCATGGTACTTAGTCCACCTGCTTAGATATGTTTTACCCAGTGACTTTAGTGATGGCTTGTGTCATTTTCTTCTTTAAACATCGGGAAATCACAATTCCAGAATCCTTTATAAAGGCATCACAGTGAGATACTAGTATAGCCTCTGACATCATTTTTTTTATTGGAAGTTTAGTTGTGACTGCCACCTGCACTGTGAGCAATCTATGTCCAAAAAATAATAAAAACTACATTTGCATCTTAAGCTCAATTCTGACAAGCCATACAATGCAGTCCAGCTCAGAGGAGAGCCCGAACCTCCTGTACGACTGTGGTCCGGATTCATCCAGACAATAAATCCACAGGGTGAGAGGAGCGCTGTATTTTTGACACTTTTCACTGGATCTCTGCGCAGAGAGCCAGCCTGGCTGACATCTCTTTGTCTCTGCTGAATGACAGTGATGTTTTCAAGAAACATTGATTGGGATATTTGAGCAGTCACAGTTGTCAGAGGCGAGAGGTGGAGATAGGCTGCTGCTGATCTGCTCTGCACTGACAATGTCTCTTTACACTAAGTCCAAAATCAATCTCTAATTGAACGCTCCAACAACAATCCATACCGTCTCTAAACCCAAGTGACCACCCAACTACATCATTACTTCATCAACGTGTGCTTTCTGCAGCTGTCAGCGCACAGCTGGACTCAAACCGGACTTCGCTTTTTGAGATTTTCATAAACAGTAATGCGTCAAACATCCAGTGTGTTAACTGCAGCTGGCAATATAGCAGATATTTTAAAGAGAAATATAAAATGAACATACTCTGAGAATTTAACTCTGACATTAAATTAAATTGTTAATAGTGTTCATTGTACCACATTAGTCTATTAGAATATAAAGAAGAATTCATGTAAACATACACAGGGTTGGGAAGAATACTTTTAACATTTCATTTGTTTTACAATTTTTAGTTACATGTTAAAAAAAATCATCAGTAACATAATATAAGTATCACAATATAGAAGTAACCTGATTACTTTTTGCTACTTTTGGATTACCTTAAAATGTAACACAATATGAAAAATGACTAGAGAAAATAAAAATCAATAAGTGGCTTTAACTTTGTGACCTTAGATATTTAGGATCAAAAGTCCTCTTAAATGATAGGCTAGGGCCGGCCACAGAATACTATAGTTTACAAATGCTGTTTTTTTAATAGAGGAATTCAAATCAAAAACAGTATTTTTGTTTAATAAATCAGGTGCCACTTACTGCATTAAAAAAAAGAGAGTAACCTAAATGAAAACCAAAATTCAGGACGTATGTCTACCTATAATATATTGATCTTTATTTGACATTTTATTGTAACATTGTAATCCTGCAATTCCCATTTTCTTTATTAGCAGTAATCAGATTGCTTTTATACTATTCTTTTGCCTTTTTTTCTATTCTGATCCTGTTACATGTAAGCTGTTACTTTCCAGACCTGACCTTAAGGCCCGGACACACCAAGCTGACACCAAAGAACTGACACAGACGGACCCCCGACTGTTGTGTCGCCTCGCGTCTCTGCGTCTTGGCCATGTGTCGCACTGGAACACACCCCAAAGACTTCAGCCGACGGCCAAGAAGCACGTACGAACTGTGCATGCGTGAGTGGCAATAACTCTCCTTACCAGCAGGCGGCGGTAGTGTGTATTCGTCATTCAAAAGAGGCAACAACCGGAAGACAGACTGGTGATAACCAAGAGAAGAAGAACAGACTGCGTGATATAAACAAACAACAAATAGCATGTGCGTTCCATTTTCACTCTACAGCGAGAAGCTCATGGGGCTTTCCCCAACCTGTGTCGAGAGCTGGAGTTAAATGAAATCTCAGATTGGCCTTCTTAATCGTTTGTTTGGGCCCCTCACTTCCGTTTCGCTTCTCATGCACTGATTTGCTAGCTGAACAGCCAATCAGAGTGATTTCTTTTGCCGACAGCCTTTGGCCGACTGCCCACCGATTCGACATGACATGTTGAATCGGTGGGTTTTCGGCCGAAAAGGTGTCGGCACGGCTGAAAAGACACGACGGTGCGGGACACACCAATCTGAGTAGGGCGTGTCGACGCCCATCGACGGCCAAAATCGGCTTGGTGTGTCCGGGCCTTTACAGAACACACCGGAACAAGCTCAACATGTGGAGTTGAGTTTGTTTATGAATGTTAATAGCAGCTCATTATCCTTTGATTCACATTATCAGGGAATTCTTGACTCTTCTTGAATATGTATTACTGATAACTTTTAATATCAACTTTTAATACCAACTCTGAGCAGGAGCAACTATTTTGACATTTCTACAAACTGTGTCTTTTTTGTGTTATAACACATTTAAGTTTGTAAACATACACTTTCTGATTTTGTTATAATATTTTGAAGAACTTCCCACTTTAATAAATCTCCTCTTAGCGTATGGATGATGTTAGTTGTAACCTCAACTTTAATAGTTTAATATTAATGTATTTTGTTATCCAATTAAAAAATGAATTGAAAAAAATGCTATTTGGCACATTTGATGGGATTGTTTGTATATATTAAAACAAAATTATAATAATGGGAGATATCCATGGAATTGTTATCTTGTTTTTTTTCCTGTTCTTTCTTATAAAAACAACTTACTGTAAGCATAGTCTAATCTTGTCTGGTCTTACATTCTTATTTTTATCATTCAAGATTCAGTCTTTATAATATAAGAATTGTAAAAAGCAATTAAAGACTGTATACCAACAAGTTTGTTCGCTACAACTGTTCTGAAATCACATGTCATCCATGTGTAGATATCACCTAACACGAATCATTTAAACTCATTCAAAGACATCTTTAAACTTTAATGCATTCCAACTAATATTAATGTTGTCCAAATTAGGTGACTTTTCAAAACACAAAGGATAAAGATTTTAATTATAGCTTTTACATTCTCATTCTACATTAAGCTTTCTATAATCAAAATACATAACATTTTCCCTGTGCATTTTGATTCAAATCCATTTTCTGTTGTGAACTTGATTAGGGTTAGGGTTAGGGTTAGCAATTATTGTTTATTGAAAATAAGCCACAATAAAACTCCCGCGTTGTAATGCCATGTCCATTGTGCATTATAAGTCAGGGCAAGGCAGGTGAGGACATTATGTATCTGCAGACATTGTGTACCGAACAAGGAATTCAAAGTAACAAAAACATGGCAGCCTTGGGCTCCTAAAATAGACTTTCATTGTAAGTGGTAGGGCCTTTTATTCTCTGCTGGGTGGTTAACTTCCTTATGTTATGGAAGGGTCCTAACACGCATCTATTTCCCGCCTCCAAAACCAGCGGCTGCCAGCTGAATGCTCACTTTGGGAAAACACACCATCACACATAAGAGGCCAATCAAAGAAAACAGGGTGTTGCCCTTCACTAAGAAGAAGCTGATCACGCCAGGTCACCTTGCTATAATCAGCTGGAATTGTCAGAATTGAGTTTTGATAAAAAAATTGAAACATTAACTTTATCAAATGTATTATATCAACATATTTCCCGTAACTGTATTAGGTTAGTTGAAAGCAATAATATTAAGTTTGAATACAAATATTAGGTTCAACTTCATATTATTGCTTTCCACTAACCTAATACAGTTATGTGACATTTGTGGACATAATGCATTTAATTAAAGTCAATGTTTACATTTTTTCAGTGCATGGCTTTTTATGCAGCTTTCAACTCAATCTCATAGACCTCAAAGTACTTTTTGAGAAGTAAAAACTTCAAAAATCATCGGGAGCTTTGGTATCTGTTAATAGGTACTGACAACTGAAAAGTAATAATTGTAATAATAAGGAAAATAGTGCAAAGGTGCACATCTGAACAATGTTTTTGAAAGAAGAAGCTTATTGTTGTGGAAACCACTCACCCCGTTTCTGCATGAAGCTGAAAAGATCATCGAGAAACTCTTTGCGCTTTTCGTCATCGTCCAATTCATACAACTGAAAAAAAGAAGGAAAGAAATGGAATGAATTAGACATTTTTACCAAAGAAAAAGAAGGCCATGTTTGATCATTGAGAGGTTGGTGGAGTTGTTCATGAACTCTGAGGATTATGGCCGATCAGGAGAGGACAATGAGCTCCTTGAAGACAGTCTGTGAGCGGCCTTGAGCCCGGAGCAGCGACTGACCAGCAGCCCGCTCACACCTCCAGCACAAAGGCTCAGCGCCACACCGCTGCTGGAACAACATCAGGAAGATGCTTTCTGCCCATGAATAGCTTTCTCACATCTGTGCGCCTTAGAGAGGTATGCCTTTGGCAGCTCCAACCAAATGACCATCAGCGTTTCTTATCTGACCCCTTCAAAAAGGTGAGCACAAACATGTTGTTCATTCATACAAAGCTCTGAGCATGGTGCTATCTTCTATAGAGGACACAATATTAGAAACAGTTCCAAATGCAATGAAATCAAGCTGCCTTTCACTCAGCATATTCCGGCAGCAGCCTACACACCAACATGAGCACATACTACAGTTTAAAAACGCAGAAATCAAATTTGAGCTGACAGAAAATGCTCAGTTTTAGTTTAATACACACAGTTAAGATCACACACACTATTTTATGAACATATAGGTTCACCTGCTGAATTAAAAACAGAACAAATGAAGCAAAGAAAGTGAAAACCATAAAGCAGATTCAGGCAGTAGGCGTATAGATTAGATTCACACTTAAAGTATTATCCTACAGAACAGTACAGCTCACAGAGAAGAGAGAACATCTGATCCTTTACAACAAACACTATAGAGATCCACTAGTTTCTAAATATACCAGTCATTTTATTACATTTTTTGGATGTAACTGTAAGGGAATAGAGTTACTTTTTTTTGTATCCTGATTATGTTATCCATGTAGTCCATTATTGCCCAAGCCTGAATGAACTGTATGTCAGTTAAACACTTTTTCTAGTCAATCATTGCATATGTCATTGACATAGTTAAACACTGTGCCTGACTCATTTTTAAATAGCTGGTTAGTTTTGAGAATATCACGTATTTGTCAGGTGGTGCGATCTCTCATCACTTATTAAAGTCCCAGAAAATACATCCAGCAGGAATATTTCATTTTCCGTGATCACAGTATTGCAAAGACTGTTATAATGATCCCATCTTAATATTGAAAGTGTTATCTGATTTCACGTAGAAAATGTTATCAAATAGCACATTTTAGGCCAGCAGTGCAATATATCTTATTTTACAGCTGCTACAACTGGCTGCTAATACTGTAATAACACGGTTGTAAAATAACAGTGCAATATATAGTTTTACTAGTTACTGCTGTTATTACTGTATGCTTCTTCATCACTTTTGTACGTTCATTCACTTCATAATGCTGCTACCTGTATCTTTAACACCTTGGATATGCACTTATCTAATGTACTTTCCTTGTTATTTAATATGTAAGTCTACTCTTTTATTTTGTCTTTATCTGCAATGTCCCCTTAATGCAACAATGTTCATTTCCCCGCTGGTCAACGTATAAAGGATCTCTGATTCTGATGTTGCGAGGGAAGCAAAAAAAGTCTAATTAATCTGAGCGAGTAATGTCTGGAATTAGTGTAATAATAAGTGTTTGTGTCAGCCTAAAAGCCACATTAGAGTGTGGGATAACAACATTTCACCGGCAGTCAAACACGATCATCATCTTAGGCTGAACTCTTATGGCCACTGAGACACATATCTTCATTTGAAAAGAAAAAGGTAAATGTAAAGACTGAGAATAAAAACCTATAATATCTCAGCAGGATATCTCCGTGTGTCTGGCCCTCCGTATATTTCAGTAGCACTTCTTCCCTTATTGGCATACCCATTATGCTCCTCATCGTGCCCTATTCACGGGGACAGCAGTGTCAAAGAGGCTTTTAAATGGGCCTCTCCAGCCACATACAGCCGATGGAAATATGTTAGTGGCTATGTTCACTTTCAGCAAGGCCCAGAGCCACGTTAACAGGCCCACTTAATCAATACTGGAAGACAGAGGGATGACCTTTGGAATCAGTGGGGCCCTGTGGACGAGGCCCCAGAGATAATAACTGATCATTTAGAAGTGTATTAGCTGTCACCAATATTAAAGGACCAGAGCAGGTCAGCACTCAGGAGGAAACCGTGGGGGGGGTGTTGAGGGGAGGGTTCCGGAGGTGGTGTGTGTGTGTGTGTGTGTGTGTGTGTGTGTGTGTGTGTGTGTGTGTGTGTGTGTGTGTGTGTGTGTGTGTGTGTGTGTGTGTGTGTGTGTGTGTGTGTGTGTGTGTGTTTGTGAGTGCATTGTGAGTGCTGCTCTGCAGGCAGTCCATGGTGCAGGCAATATCGAAAGGTAAAGGAACAGCAAGCCATTGCAAAAATGTTAAGTGCACAAATGCAGAGCGGATGACAATGCAGCAGGATCAATTGTGAGGCCCATGGAGCGCAAAGGCATATATGCAGAGACAATGATGAGCATAGGGGCAATGACACATGTGTCAACATGCACACAAACACACCGCAGCCGGTAAACCCAGTAAAACTCAAATATACATGTTTATATTTAAAAACGTTCATTTTTCAAAGATGTCGAGATGCTTCAGAAAAAATGGCAAAGAATCATTTTCACTTTGGAACTTTGACTTTACAATAAGTTGTGATTAATGGTGAAATGTGAGAATGTGATTTGGAACTTTAAGTTAAATAAATCCATCTTTACTGACTGTTCAGCTAAAGCCGTTCACTTACTAAGTTTCATATTTGTCGTTTTTAAAGGCTTTCATTTATTTGTTTCATAACTACCTGCATAGAGCTGTTCTTAAAATGCTCTTTAAGTGTTCATCACGGGTTGTGAATGCAGCACGGAGGTGTACGTTGGCAGAGGACTTTACACCCAAACCCACAATTCAAAATGTAAAATAACAGCTGCTGTAGCTCCAAATGATCATTGTGCAATGAGAACCCCATATGCAATTCATCTGATGTGAACAGGGTGCTTATGAAGAACTTATAAGTGTGTTTTTCAAACCTATTACACCCACCATTGTCCCTGTCACTGCAACATTTGACATTAATATATATAAATATATATATGATTGTTATTTCATTTATCTTTATTGGACATATTACTTTAATTTCTTATGTTTATCTAACTTATTTTATCATCCACTGTACATTCTTACTTCTTATGTTTTATAATATATTTTATTTATTAATTTTTCTTCTATTTTATTCATCTGTTTTTGGATGGAATGGAAAACATGGAATGGAAAATACATTGTCTAACCTAATTGAATACATGCACAGTCTATGACATTAGTGTGGAATCTGTCCAATAAGAAGAGACATGAGCCGAAGTCATTCATACACAGCTCTACACTCTATTGGTCAGGTTCTCCTGCAAATGGTTGAGAGCGAAAGGGAGAAGTGACCGGGCAGCATTCCTGTCTGAACTTTGTTTACTGTTTCCCCTCTGTGTGTGTGTGTGTGTGTGTGTGTGTGTGTGTGTGTGTGTGTGTGTGTGTGTGTGTGTGTGTGTGTGTGTGTGTGTGTGTGTGTGTGTGTGTGTGTGTGTGTGTGTGTGTGAAGTAACTGGAGAGAAGGCTGAAGGACACTGGGTTCAGCTGAACCTGGAGGCTCTCTGTCAGTCAGCAGGTCAGCGGGGGCAGCCTGCCGACGTTGAACATGGAAATCTCTCCTGCATGGCCTTTTCCTCTCTCAGAAACTATACCTGTTGCTAAACATTTATCATTTGTTTGACCTAACCTTTGAGAACACGCAGAATAAATAAGAGAGTCATTTAGAAAAGACCACACTGAAAAAGATGTATCATTTCACATATTAGGTTAGTTGAAAGCAATAATATTAAGTTGAACCTAATGTTTTTTTATTTAGACTTAATATTGTTGCTTCCAACTAACCTAATACATTGAATTAAAATCAACTTTCACTTTTTTCAGTTCAAGAAAACAGAACTCGAAGTAGCAATTGATGTTGTGTTTTTTTAGATACAAATCGGAACAGTATCTCATGGATAGTCAGACTTCTAAGATAGATATAAGATATAAGATTCAGTGAGGAAAAGGGTAAGAAATCTTGTTGAAACGTTCAACTAAATAAATGTATTATGTTAACAAATTAAACATAATTGCAGTGTGTGAATCCTGTGTGCATTCTATGTAAGTAATGTAACTACTAAAGTAAGGTACTTACAGAACGGAAACACATTTCATATAAAGTAGTGAAAATTGCAGCAAAATATAGCACCAAGTGGAACTTCACTTTTTATTCATGACATACTCATCCATCACTATTGAGTTCCGAATATATGACATATCTCAATTTGGAGTAGACGAGAGGTGAAATTAGATATCAGAATCAGAATCAGAATCAGAAACAGGTTTATTGCCAGGTAGGTTCACACATACGAGGAATCTGACTTGTCATGGTGCAGACATAAAATATAAAACAAGAAATATAATATCATTGTGAATGAAAAGCTGCTGAGAAACGTAAACAAAAAAACAAAAACGTAAACAAAAATACTTACTCGTGAGAAGTTAGTGTGAAAGTGTACATGTGTAAGTGACCACCTAGAGTGTCTGTTTGCATGTGTGTGTGTGTGTGTGTGTGTAATGTTAATCAGAGAACAATGCTGCTGCGGGCATGCTGGCCACCTTCCAGTTGGCTTGGTGCCACTAGTAACAGCTCTCCGCTGGTGAACACACACACACACACACACACACACACACACACACACACACACACACACACACACACACACACACACACACACACACACACACACACACACACACACACACACACACACACACACACACACACACACACACCCAGAAGCAGAAGATGTGGAAGCTAATATGAAGAGGCAGGGTGAGCCTTTACAGGATTAAGTGGCAGCAGCCTGACCACATATTGGCAGCTCTAAGTGTTATTTTACCATGGACCACTGCAGGACACACACATTC